TTTAGGGGGCTTGGGGTGCAGCTCAGTGGCAGAGCACTTGCCTAGAGTGTGCCAACACCCTGGGTTCCCAGCTCAGCACTGCAAAGAAGCACTAAATAATCACAATAACTCTAGGAGCTTTACATCAAAATCTAGCCTGCTGGGTCCCTGCAGCTGAAAGACCTGGCCACATGGGGCCCACAGGCAAAGAAGAGCTGAGTGGAAACAGGAGCCCCTTTATTTTATTTCATTCTATTTAATTTAATTTTTGCAATAGTGGGGATGGAACCAGGACCTTGCCCATGCCAGGCAAGTACTGTACCAGAGTGCTGGTCCCCCAGCCTGCAGGAACCCCTTTAGACAAGACTCACCCCAGCTCCCTGAGGTGCACCTCAAAGGCAACTGAGTTTCCCCGGAACCCTGCCCTCCAGCCTCGGGCAGCCCTGACCAGCGCGGTGCCACCCTCATTGCTCCGTGAAAGCAGGCGCCGCAGACACTCGGTCCTACACGTGTCCCCACCATGCCTGCGTTACACAACACCTTTTAAAAGCAAAGAGGAGCCTTAGCTTTGATCCCCTCTCAGCCTGTGCATCCTACAGGAGCCTGGGGCTGGCCAGACGACAGCCTTCAAAGTTCAATCTGTAGGAGTTGCTTCCCTGTGGGCAGGATTCCAGGTGCCCAGCTCTGTGGAGTGCAACTCCCGAGGAGATGAGGCCTCGCAGGTCCTCTGGCTTGGGCCCTATACCCCACCCGGTGCCTGGACATCTCCTTACTTTGACTGACCACATCATGGACATCTCAACACTCTGGTCCTGCAGTCTGAGCACCACTGAGCCGGCGGCTCTTGGGGGACMGCCCCCTCACTCTCCTCCTCTTCTGAAGGTGGAGCGCACGGCTCTGCAGGGCTTCCTGGGGAGGCACCCTCTCTTTCCTCTTTCTCCCCTGCATACCTAGATGTTTTAACCATCTCCAGCCCCAACTGAAGCTGGCAGAGAAGGCAGGAAGGGTGGGGGGAGCTGAGTATGTGAGTGTGCAAGCACACGTGTACGTGTGTGGGCAGACACAGTCTTCTACGTCTTGACAAGTACCGACCGGCCCTTGACCCTCTGCACAGCACGGCTGGGACAGTGAGGTCCCCTGGGAGTCTGCTCTCAGAGCACAGCCACAACACTCAACTCCCTGGTTGCACCATGACCTCACACTCAGGCAGCCAGGAAGCYGGCGGGCAAGAGTCCTGCGCAGAGGCCCGGGGCAGAGCAGCTGGCTGACACCCATGCCTTCCCATCTCCCCTCGTCCCAGTGAGAGCCGGAACTTCATCTTCAGAGGCGCCCCTCCTTCCCTCCTGGCACACACAACAGGTGCTCCCTAAAGGCTGGGTGGATAAGTGGCAGGTGCCAACTTGGAGAGTGAGCTTCCCCAGGCCTTTACAGGGACTAATTTCTGAAGGGAATCAAGGTCCATCTCTAGCAATCAGCAGTCTGACTCTTGGGGAACTAACAGCTAAGTAGACAGTGGTTGCTGGGCAGGGGCACCAACCATGTCTGGAGACACCTTTGGCTGGCAATTGAGAAGAGTATTGGCACCGAGCAGGAAGGGGCCACGAGTGCTGCTAACACCGTACTGTGCGGAACAGCCTTTCTCTGTCACCCAGCAGAACTTATCTGACCCAGAAGGTCCTAGTGGAGAGGCGGACAGACCCTGGGTTCAGGCCACGACAAAACCTGGGCAGCTCACACCAGATCCGCCAAATGGAGAACTGGTGTCCCGTGAGTTTCTAAGGTTTTGAAGCATTTTTTGGAACAGGTTGGAGAAGAGAAATCGGAGGATCCAGGGCCCCAGCGAGATAGCGGTGCTGACAAACAAGACAGCCACTGTAGGTGACGGCACAGAGGCAGGTCCAGGGCAGGGGGCACCCTCCCCGGGGGCTAGTGCAGTGTGGCCCACAGTCTGGGTTGTCTAAAAGTGTGGTTGGCATCTACCTGCCATCAAGATTCAGGCTGGAGAGAGACAGGTTACTTCTGAGAGCTTCCACAGAACTGAAAAGAGTGCCAACAGAAATGTGAGCACAGAGGACAGCTTCCTCCAAAGTGCCCAGAAAGTCCTCTAGGGCCACTTCACTCCTGCAGGTGGCTTTGAATCCTCGGACCCCTGGCTCTGTAAAAGAACTGTATATTTTTTTTTCATTGTGTGCTTTGGGAACAGTGAATTCTACCTCTCGATTATCCAAAAAGTGGGATCACAGGAATACCTAATTAAAACTCTCCTGCTCCCAGGTTCAAGGTGCATCTGCTCTGGGTCCCAAGTCCCCAATTCAGGAGGTAGAGGGTGCAGTCTGCATAAATACTGGACCAAACTCGGGATGAGGGGGGCCTTGGGCAACGCTTTGCACTGCTGACTCCCCTCATCTCCAAGCCAAGGGTGCAAACCCCAAGCTCACCAAGGATCCTCCCAGGTCTGAAACTGGGGCAGCTGAAGGCCACACAGGGGAACCCGCTGGTAGGGAGGGAGCCTCGAGCCAGACCTTGGAGAACAAAGGCTGAACCTGGACAGACTGTAGAAGTTTAGATTTCACCCATCCTGGCCTCATCTTTCAGGTGAGGAACACAGGCTCAGGATGGCTTAAGGGACCTCAGAAGTCAATCTCCTTTTGCAGAAAGTTTTTTTTTTTTAATAAAAGAACCCCATGGACACTGCCCTGAGGCCCAACTCCAAATCTATCTTCAAAGTTCTACAAGGGCTACAAGTAGCTCCCAAGACGCAGGAGGTGGAACTCACCAGCCCTTATTAGTTTCTCCCTTCTTCCTTCCATCCTTCCCTCCCTCTCTCCCTTCTTATCTTCTGTTGTAAAGAAACTCCAGGGAACCAGAGGCCTTAAGGCTCCMCAGCCCAGCCTTTCAGGGAAATCTGATTAACACTTGCAACAAACTGTTACATTATACCCAYGTATTAAAGATGTGCTCCCTCCCTGCCTTGAGGCCTTCTTCCCGGAAACACAGGGAGGACCTAATTGGGGCACCCAGGGATAGGTCACCACCGTTTCAAGCACTAACCCCCAGGGTTCCCCTCAAAGAGTGTATTTGGGAAGTGCCCAGAGCCCAGGCAAGGGGTTCAACATGACACTGCGGTGCCCATGAAGCCTGAGAAGGGACAGAAAGAATGACCGGGAAGTAAAGAGAGGACAAAACCAGAACATTCAACTACACCTAGATCCTGGAATGTGGCTGACAGGTGATGTGAACTCCGGGTTGGGGAGCTCCCTCCCCCAAGGCAGGTTTACCGAGTGGGGGAAGTAATAAAATAAGGCAGCAGCAAGGGTACTGAGCAGCCGGGAGCAAGGGCCAGCCTCTCCCCAGACCGGTGCCAACATACTTTAATAACATCATGATGCATTTCATGACCCCCACCCCCACCCCCAGTGCACAAATGGCCTCTGGGAAGCAGTGGAGCCTAATGTAAGCCAGTTCCCCAAACTCTGGCTCTGGGCAGTTTCTCCTGGACCTCCTGGTCTGCACAGGTCAGGTGGGGTGGGGTGGGGAGGGTGGGTAGAGAGCCCAGTTTTCAATTTCAGGATGGGCCGGAGTGGGTCAAAGGGTAGAAGGACCCATTACTGAAGCCTGGCCACTCTGCCCCTGCCAGGCTGGTCATGGGTTATTTTTACTTCTTGCACCTCACTATACAGGTTCAGGGGCCCCAAACTGTGGCAGCCGCCTGCAGAAACTGGCTTATGAGTCACCTAGCCACTGCCCTCATTCCTAGTGACTGCCCTCGTTCCATGACAGTTGCCCGTGAGCTCCTGGTCCCAACTGGAAGAAGGCTGCCATCAGCAGGGAAGAGCTGTGTCCCTGTACCCTGGGCGCTAGGGGACAAAGAGGAGGAAACTATAGCTTAGGGAGGCAAAGGGTCCCCAAAAGAGTGGACCAGGGGAGGGGATCTATATTAGAAGTCAGAACCAAGCAGAAAGGGTTCAACTCCCCACCCAACCTAACATCCACCTGGGTGGGCTACTGAGGAAGGAAGCAGAGGGTGTTTGCTCAGCTTCCGGTTGTACAGGATGCGACTAGCCCAGGGTTCAACACCTGCTCCCCACCCACTCCTAATCCACTGCCCTCTTCTGGGGCAAGGCAGTCCCAACCACAAACGGTCCCAAACTTTTGACTCATTTGTAACCACGGTCCCAGCCAGACTGAGCCAAGCTGTCCAGACAGAGGCTATTTATAGGTGCGTCGGGACACAGACAATCACAATGACACGAACTGGGGATCCACGTTGGGCCAGAGGCACCGTGGCTAAGCCCTGGACCACAGACACCTGGACATAATTGGTCCTTAGATTCAGCAGATCTCAGACCCCAGGAGATGCACACAGGCAAGAGAATGGCTAGATCCCCCCCAGAGACACAGGTGCTCAGGGAGACTAGGAGACACACTCCTGGGACTCCCTCAGACCCACGGACAACCCAGAGATGCACGGAGACTCCTGAGACGCCAAAGCCCCAGAGAGACACGCCGAAGCGCACACCCCATGGACACACCAAAATCCACTCTCTGACATCGCGACGCAGCGCCACAGACACTCCAGACACACACTGCGGCCCCAGACACTTCACAGACCAGACAGTGTCTCACACGGCCGCCCCCACCCCCCGGCCAAAGTTGATAAAGAGCCGGCCTAATTGCGCCAGTGCGACAGCCCCTGAGGGAAATAAAATTTAAACTTCACGGATTCGGCCGCCCCAGCCCTCCCGCGCCGCGCGCCGCCGCTGGGCCCCGGGTCCGAGTCCGGGCGGGCGGGGCGCGGGCAGCGGGGGCCGTGCCAGGCTAGCAGCGCCGCGGGACAAAGCCGGGCCGGACGCCAGCTGCCGCGAGCCGGGAGGGCGCGCCCGGGACGCGCCGGGCGCAGCCGGGGCGCCGGGCGCACTGCCCGAGGGGGCGCGCACCTCCCGGGCCCCAGCCCGCAGCTGCGCCCCGACACCGGTCCGAGTCTGATGGGGCCTCCGGGGAGGGGGCGCAGGGTCACTCACTGATCTCCATGCTCTGGAACAAAGAGCGTTTGCAGTTGCACGTGCAGGAGACATTGGGCTGCCCGGCGGCGGCGGTGGCGGTGCTGTTGACCCCCATCAAGCGGTGCATGGACGGCGCGGCGGCGCGGCGCGGGGCGCAGGGGGCGCGGGGGCGGCCGGGGGGGGCTCCGGCCTGCGCCCGATGCTCGGGCCCCGCATGCAGGAGGCGCGCGGCGGGGGAGGCGCGCCCCGGCTCGCCTGGCTCGGGTCGCCGCCAAGTTCCCGGGGCGCCTCGGGGCTCAGTGCGCCGGGCCGCGCTCCTCCGCGCCCTGCGGCCGCCGCTCGGCAGCCCCGGGGGCGTCGGCAGTGTCCGCGGGTGGCGTCCGGAAAATGGGCTGGCAGCCGGGGCGCGCGGTGCCGCCGGGGCTGAGCCTCTGCCGCTGGCTTCCCCCAGCCGAGCGCCTCCGCCGCCGCCGCCGCCTCCTCCTCATTCAAGTCCAAGGAGATCGGGTTTCGCTCCGAGACCGCGGTCGGAGGCAGGCAGACGGTCTGACGTCAGCGCTAGACGGGGCTGCCGGTTCCCACCGCGCGGGGGCCGGGGAGGGGGCGCGCGCTGCGCCAATCCCCGCCGAGGTTCCCCCGCACCCCCTCCCCGGCCCGGGGGGCGGGGTGACGGGAAACGGGGCGGGCTCTTAAAGGGCCAGAGCTTGGCGGCCGGTGTAGACCCGGGACCCGCGCGGTGAAGGAGGGGCACTGTGCGCCCTCCCAACTGGAGTCAGCTCGGATCTCCGGTCCCGCACAGAGGGCGTCCCCACGACCGAGACTCGCGGGAGTTGCTCGCGCCCTCCCCCCCACTCTCACCCCTGAGGTCCCTGACCCAGGCTTTTGGGGGTAGGCTGGTTCTAGAGAGCATGATGTCCCTGGGGTTTAGGGCTCAGAAGTCAGAGAAAGCGGGAGGAGCCCCCAGATCAGTCACCCATTGCGGGATATCGCAGGGGACTCCGCCTCCAGTTCTGCAGCCCCTAGAGGATCCTAGCCCACTAGGCCCCCCAAGCACTTTAACCCGACCCGAGGCAGTCGATTTGGAAAGACGGGAACTCGGGTAGACACGCCCGGGACAGCTCTGAGAAACGCCCGGGGGCCCTTGTCATGTAAATACGTGTCCCGGACTGGTGTATTGTCGCTGCCCCAGCCGGCTGGGCCTCGGACGAATCCACACCCATTGTCTGCTGTCCGAGGGGCCCCCCCGGAGTGGGGGGCGTGGCTCCGAAGTTCAAAGGGGGGGTCTGTGGGGGTGTACTTTTATTTCATTAAGTTTTAATTACAAGAGTGCTACAAGAACACATTCTCCTGGTTTAAAGAGATATTAAAATATTACATAAGAGGCCTCCCCTCCCTAGCACAACTCTAACCTCTCAAAAATGTGGTGTGGCGCCTGGTAGACTCTTCCCTAAATCGCCACTTATTTAACAAGCACTTATGGAGCGTCTACTGTGTGCCAGAAGGGGTCCAAATAGTAAATGAACCCCGTATCAACTAGGAGAAGCAAAATATTATTGTTTCTATTTTGCGAATCAGAAAGCTGGTCGGCAAAGCTGTTCCCTGTGGTCACACAGTGGTAGAGGTGGAGTTCCTACCAGGGTCCCTGGGTATCTGCCCCTCCACACATTTCTAGTTCTTTAAATATCCACGTGCAGTATTCTATAAATCCTGGAGTTTTATTAATGAGCAAGAGCTCCTTTTGTATTCAGAGGGGAAAAAGCTTTTACAAGTCATTTTATTTTTAATAGACTGGATAGAGAAGGAGAAGGGCGATTTGGGAGGTGGTGGTGCAGAGAGAATGATGGGGGCCTGAACAGTTCATCCTGCAACCCTCGTAGAAAGTCAGCTGGGTTTCCGCTGCTCCTGCCGGGAAGCCCAGGCTGATGCTGTCCAGCCCTCCTGGGAAGGCTGGGCAACCAGCCCAAAGGGTTCAAGCCACCAGTGGATGGCTGGTCAGAGCTTTGTGGGGAAGCCCCCAAGTGTCCAGTCTAGAGAGATGTTCACAGTTGCCGAAGGCCATCTGTTTGAGAAGGGAAACTGTTGTAAAGCCACTACCCAGCCCTAGGACAGGACCCAAGCCCCCAAGAGTAAGGCAGTGCCTCTGCCTTGGGGAAGAGGTTTTTCTCCAGAGGGACTTTCACTAGGGAAGGTCTTGCTGCACCATGGCCCCTGTAACTTGAAGGCAGGCTGGGGAGTCCCAAACATCCTTGGAGGGCATTGAAAGTCTTGGTTGGGCCTTGGCATGACCCCAGTTCCACTCATCTTCTAGGCACACCTCCCACCAGTCATCCTTTCCTTCATTCAATCAACAAACTGCAGCCCTGCACAGAATTCAGCAATGTCAGACAGAGCCCCTACCCTCCAGGAAGTCTCTGGGTGATCTGGCTCCTCTGGCTGCAAGAAATCAAACTTTGATTGTCTTGGAAATGAGGCAGCTTTTACACAATGGAGCAGAACACCAAAGGCAAAATAACCAGTTAATTCATTGAATTGACAAAAACAAACCCACTCACAGCACTTGACCTCCATCGATCTGTCTGGGACAAGAGCAGTGGTCACTTTTCAGAGTGCTACAGTGCAGTCCCACTTCCTGACTCAGGTGTTGTGTGGGAGTGGCTTACCGTCTTCTGCCCTGGTTCCACAGATTCCACCTGGAGGGCTTAATGCTAGGTGTCCAGCATGGGAGGAAGAACTGGGTCCCTAAAGATGAGTGGTGCACAGCTATGTGACCTTGGCTGAGTGTCTTCCTCTGCAAATTGTGGCCACTGACAGCACCTTCACGTGGCATGACTGTGAGGAAGGAGGGGCAGAAGGCCAAATTCAACTTTCACAGCAACCCTGAGGGTGGGGGGACATGCTGTCACTTCACTTTCCATTTTGCAGGGTGATCCACTGATGATTTGCCCACTGGCAGAGGCCCTGGCTGAGTTGGGTCTTAGGAAAGGACAAAATTTCTTTGGAAGGAACCCAGACTACACCGTCTGCACTCTCTGGAGGTTATGTGGGTGCCTAAGGCTGTCTTGTAAACCTCAGGAGACTTCGTGAGATTTGAATTTCAGATAAACCTAAAGGTTTAGTATAAGTATATCCCATGCAATATTTGGTATATACTTATACTAAAAATGTACATGTTACTTAACTGAAATTCAATTGTAACCACATGTCTTGCATTTTTATTTGCTAAATCTGATAACTCTGTGTATGCCAGGCATTTTGGAGCTAGGAATTCAGCCATGAGGGAGCATAGCTGCTGTCAGGCCCAGCACAGGCAGCAGAGCTCACTCCTTGTGATTCTGCAGGGGGCCAGGGTTGGGGGCATCTGTCTGAGGCCAAGCAAGATCTCAGTCTCTGGAAGTGTGTGTGTGTGTGTGTGTGTGTGTGTGTGTGTGAGAGAGAGAGAGAGAGAGAGAGAGAGAGAGAGAATGGTCACCACTGGGTAGTCAGATTCCTGGGAGAGAGGCCACAAATCAGGGAAGGAATTGTCTGTTCATTCTACAACATTCTACAGCTACTGTGCTTCTATTAAGTGCCAATCTGCTGGGCACAGGGCTGAGAACAAAAACAAAACAGGACTCCCTCCTCCTGTGACATCATGGAGAGCCAAAGGGATCACAGATGCACACGTCATTTCAGATATGATGACTGTGTGCTAGAGGCCAGGGTAGGGGCAAAGTCAGGGAGGTCTTCTCTGAGGAGATGGCATCTCCTTCTACCCGTGTGACTGAGCACCACCGAGGGTCCTGTGCCAGCTCCCGCCCCCTGGGGCTCATGCTGTCCCAGGTGAGATGGACCATGTGGCCATGTGCGGACATGGAAATCTGGCGGACAACTTCAGAGAAGGACAAGAACCAGGAAGAGCAGTGACCTGAGCCCAAGAAGTCAGGGTGGCCTCTGTGGGGAGGTGGGAGCCAGATATTTGATGAAATGAGGGACAGCAATAGTGGGGAAGGAGTCCCAGGCCAGGGACAACAGGCGGTCAAGGCCAAAGATCTTGGCGGCAGGGGAGCTAAGTCCCAGAAAGTGTGGCTTTGGGAACGTATTTCCCAACCCAGCTACGGTCACTGGATTGTGAAATGGGTTTGTGTCCCTGGGTGACTGTCGAGACAGGCCTTTCAGGGACTCCAGACAGCATGCGTGGCCGCCTGCCCTGGACGTGGGCTGGATATTTAGAGAGGAAAGGTCTGTGTGAGCCGGGGAGGGGTTTTTGCTCCAGCGCACAGGTGGGTGGGTGGGTGGGTGCCGCTGGCCTCACCCATGGCTATGACCCCTGCACTCACATGGCCGTCACTAGGAGGGCCCTGGGCCCAGTTCAATGCCTGGGGTCTAATGAGGTTCTGAAAGTTGTCATAATTAATAGTTTTTTAATAAAGGGCTCCAAAAATTCTGTAGGCAGTCCAGCTCGGATGCCAGGCCCAAGCGGCTGCCAGCTGGGCTCAGCGGGAGCCAATGTGGGTTTTGGCCACGGCCAAGGTGGCTGGCAATGTCCTGATGGTGCCCCCTGGCTAGGGGTGTCTGGGCACTGTGGAAGGTCCCCTGCGGAGGACAGGAGGCAGGCAGGCGTCCTAGGACCTGGGACAGAGCGCAGATATGGGCAGTCTGGGCAGCTGGACGACCCTTGACCTCGTCTCCAGCTTCTCATCCCAAGTCCTTCAGCTCCCAACTCTTCCTGGTCGGCTTTGTTTTGTTTTTGTTTTTCCTTTTCCTTTCAAACACCAACAGGAGCTGGTGTTTACTGGAGCGGCTGTGGCCCTGCCCAGATCTCCCTCTTCATAGTCTTCTGCCTGATTGGCCAACAGGCCCAGCTCAGGACCCCACCGTGGCCAGGGGTTGGCAGGTTGTGTTCCCACACGGCCCTGCAGGTCCAAGCTAACACTGTTCCCATTTGACAGAGAGGGAGACCCAGGCTCGGGAGTAAGGTGGCTCTGGGATATGGATGCAGACATTTGTGTCCCAAAGCCCCGGCACTGGTCTCAGCAACTACTGTGTCTTCTCAGCCCTGCTCAGCCCTGCGGGACCAGGCACACCAGTCCCTCGTGCCCCTGGACCCTCTACTTGTCTTTGGTGGTTCTCCTTCACGAAGCTCACTCCTAAGACACGGAGCGACTGTCGCCTGCTG